GCGCATTCCAAAAAGGATTTGGTCAACTGCAGAGTTTTTCTTCCTTTCAACCTGTATCTACCATCCGAGGCTCTTCTTTGTTGCCCGTATTCTTGGCATTGCCTGCGTACTGGCACGCGCTATTCAGAGGCATAAGACAGCGATAATTTGTAGCACACCTGCCCTGAAATAATACTGTGAGGGGCAGAGGTGGCCATATATTAGGTTTGGGCCCATAATTAATGCGTTTTTTTTCTCTACACAAGTTTTTTGTAAGCGATAAGGCATTGTTTGCCTAAGTTTGTTCTAAACGCTGTTTTGATAACAGATAATTTTCTACTCTATGAGAATAATGTGATCGCCCTTCCTACTGTTTCTTGAATTCTATCGATCTTTATTTCATTGAGATATAAAGCGTTGAATTCGACACAAAGTGAATTTGACTTGCACTTTATCTCGCTCTCAGATTACAAGAGCTCGAAACCGCTGTGATATATATGATTCTGTCCCACGCATGAAATTGGGTTAAAGCGATCAAGAAGGTGGGAACTCAGGCCATTGTACAAAGAAGCATCGCGTGGGGCGTTCTCTGGAGAGGATTGCCAAAAAACGGGCTTGCCAAAAACCACCAATTAGATTTGCAAAAGTCTAACATCAACTGAGAGTAGTGGCGAATAATGATGAGGAATCATTCCTAATAACGCTCTAACTGATTCCCGATCTTTGGCATGAATCTCCTGAATAAGATAAATACCGTAGTGCTCAGTGGGACTCATAGGAGCATTAGGTTAATGCTTCTCTGTGAGGTCGAAATTGAAAATCTTCGAAAGCTTAAACCATTGTATGCATTCCTGAGAGACATAGGCCTCTTGGCCATAACTTAGCAATAGGGTCTGTGCGTGTTTTAGTTTTTTGTTAGGAGGTAAAAAGAGAGGCTGTCGAAAATGCTCATTTCGTCGACCACTATTTCAGTTTGAGCACTTACATATTAGTGGAAAGAGAAAATGCCAATGAAAACTAAAAGAGTGTTCGTATATTGATAGGAATTCTATGCCAAGACCTGGTATAAACTCTAATAGCAAAATTCTCATTTTGGTCGCAATATTTCGAATTGATGGAAAAAGACGTTATTTACTGTCCGGGCACGACACGCAATTGTAGGGTAAAAATGACGAAAAAAAGCGGAGGTCAACGGCCAAGAATCCGCGAGAAAAGTCTTCGTTCCGCACGGCACTTTAACTAGCATTTCTGACGAGCTCTCTTGGCATCGTGGGCCAACAACCGCTTTGACAGGATTAACTGTTGCCCGTCTTATTCATACATCCACGTAGCAACGCTATCATGATGCAATTGTAGCTTTATCAATGAAGCGATTCAGCAGCAGTGTCGGATGCGACAGTAGGCCAATTGTGGGGTGCGGGGCTAATGCCGTTTTGGACTCCAGGCAATTCGGCAGCCAGAGCTGCAATTTTTAAATTACATAAGTCACGCAAACCCGCATGAAAACATGTGCACATGGGTTATGTTACGCATCGTGATTACAACACACATTTCTTGCGCTGGCGCCAAGGGCTGGCTCAAGCTTACGGAGCGCAGGTAATCGTAGTGTCAATCCATTACGCCAGCGGCAAGAGTGGAAATGTCGCATATTCGTGATCAGGATGTTAAACTACCCTATATACAAGTTTTTTAGCGGATTTGGACCTAGGGCATTTAAAAATAGGCTCGGTGCCGCGAAGTTGCTGGAGTCCAAACGGGCATTAGCCAGGGTGCGGTGGCGTGCGCGCCAGCATTGGCAGCGTGATGGGGCGCTGATAGGGGTCACACTTCGTTAGGAAAGGCTCCAGCAGCAGCCCTGCCAAGGGACACTATACAGGTGGTCAAAACAAGACTTTTCATTCTCGACTTTTCGAGCGCTATAATTACGCCAAATCAGATTCTTATTGACATTTCTACCACCATATTAAATGAGCATATTAAATACTATCATGATACTCTGGGCCAACGCTTCTGGAGGAGCGCATTGAGAGATTGTGCCATCGCGAACGCGGTTAGTGTGTGCGTGAGTTCAGCGAAGATCGTTGATATTCTCTTTACTTTAGACCAATAATATTGAAGCTCCGCCCGAACCAGGTAATTGAGGGGGCGAGTTTAGGTCCGGTTACCTGCTTAGATATTCCACTTATTCAGGTACTCATGCCCTTCGAAGGTACGGGCAACGACATGTAGGGAGGATATTCTTCTCGAGTTGCTCGATGATCGCAGCGCTCACCTTCAGTCCGCGTCTACAAAGAAAATATCGGTCTTCCCATTCCCGGTCCATACCATCAACTCGCGTCTCGGCGACCACGGTGAAGATGATGTCCTAGACCGTAGCGACGTTGACGAAGCTGCTCGATGTTGGAGGTCTTCCAGATTGGGAGTACTGGTCTCCAGGTAGCCATCCTGACTCCACACTAGAAGTTTCGCAGCTGTTTGGAGGGGACATGAATTCCGAAGGTCTTCTCCAGTCAGGTTGCGACTGGAGATGACTTCATATTTTAGCGTACAGGAAGATGATGGGCAAGGGACAGCTCCTCCTTATAGAGGAACATCTTGGGTATCTACCGCCCTGGTACTCGTATCCTCATCCTCTGTCTGCGGGGCGAAAACTTTGCTGATATGTGACTTGGTCAAAGTGACTTTTTTCGCCCCCCCCCCCTGTATACATATCACCAGATGGCATCGGGCAGAGCGTCCTGCTGCCAGTCTGTAGCGTTCACGGGTAATACCACGACCATTGCCGTGATTCCGACGTCAGGGAAAGGTCAATCCCCACCTAGCCAAGTCAACATAGTGCTCGTACAAGAGAGTTTTAGGTAGCGAGTTTTAGTTACTGAGAGTAAAATTAACTCTAATAGAAAATAGGGGAAATAAAGTTCAGTATGATCATAGCAATGTTTAGCTGGACGAAAATCGAACATCTAGAAAGGGACATAAAGTCAGTAAACAAAATGGCAAAATTTCCAAAATTATAATGGTTAACAAGAAAAAGTTACCATTCGAGAAATTCAAACTAAAATTTACATGCGTATATATAAATGGACCCGATCGCCAATCAGTCGACTAAAGAAATAGTTACCGCTGGCAGTCTCTCACATAATAGAGAGTACAGCGACACTACTTACCGGCTAATATATTGAGCAATAATGAGCTTAACTCTCCACATTTTCGAAACGTCTTAACGAGATAAACTCCTTATCCTTGAGCCAGAGTAGGCAAGGCATTTGAACATGGCACGGAACTCGTTACTCGTAAAACATTCCGATCTGAGACAACTGTCATATTGTTCTGTGTCGAACAGAGACACGACAACAGTTGTGTCAAGATGGATATATTCTACCAGAAGCATAGACAGTTCCTTCAGTTTAAATTGAAGAATGCAGCCCCGCCTACCCGATCTCGGGGGTCTCGAGTATATTTCTTAACAGACGAATCATTAATCATTGCCAGCTAATCCGAAGCTGTCAGTATCCGATCCACCAGCGGATCACATTAATCCTACAATTCAGCTTCCGCAATCGCATCCTACTGTAACTGTCAGGCACGACTGCTCTCGAGACCGTGGCACGGCCTGATGATTAGCCGCCCACCAGAGCAAGTAAGCAATTAATTAGGATCCGCCAGCCGGGCGCTGTCAGCATATCAGCACCCTACCGTAACCGGATCATTAATATCGAATCAAAGCCTGCACATTCGTATGTCGAAACTTGCTTCGATAGAATATAGAACTCCTCTACAATCCTTTCTGTCCTCAGAATACCGACCATAGACTATGGTAGTACCGAAATTTTCTCCACTAGGATCATTCTATTTGGCATGGTCACTCAAAGACTCAAACAGTGTGACATTTCTAGCCGAATGGCAAGGCTTATCGTAAGCAAACAAGTCCATTTTACAAGCCTAAGAGTGAATGCTAAAGGATAAATGAGTAAGGTGAGATATCACCCAAGAATCAGTGAAACGGTGGATGGTAGTCTTTATACCGCAACACCTGTTAAAGGCAGTTCCCGCGACCGCACTTCATATATAATACAGTTCAAAAATAGAATTGCTGTGCGCTTGTTGACCTACTGAAGAATATTAAAGTTCAAATCGCCCGCAATAAGACCCTCTTCATTGCAATGGATCGTGTTCACCGGACGAGCATAAGACGGTCAAGATCGATTGTGAATTGCAAAGGACGACGATACACTGTGACGAGAGGAGAGAGACCAGAAAACGGCGGGCGAGAGAGCACAATGGCATCGTCACGATGAAACGGGTATCGGAGGTCGGCGTGGGCCTATTGGGAGCCAATGGGCCTAAAACCTTTGCGCTTCGCGCTCTGCTTGCTAGTTTTCGACTTTTGCAGCCAGTAAAGCGTCTGCGGGTGCCTGCCTGTTCGTCGTACACATTTGAGAGCAGTCAGCCTTATTTTATCGCGTACCGTGCCTTTAAGAGGAGTACCTTGTGTAAGGATTCCACTCATATTGCACTCTGGGTGAACGACTACCGTGCCAAAGGGGCGCCACCGGCCATTCGGACCATCAGCACCGAAGCAATCGGCTCTCCTCTAGACTCAACCAGCTCTCCTTCACCCTCTTCAACTACAACCCGATCGAATTCGTCCAACATCACAACGCTTCCTGCCACCAACAGGGAGCTGCAGGAACAGTGAGTCTCTCTGAATTTCGAATAAAAATAAATTCGAAACTCCTCAAAAAACACTTATATGTGGTCACGTAAACCCCAAACCATACCGCAAAGATCCCAGCGATATCTCACGAGGCTTATTTTTCCGTACATACCCCGCCGAGCCTGTCACAGCCGAACGTTCTTACATCAAAATGGAGGTAGAGGACACTGTTAACTGTTTAGATAAAGCGTTAGACAAGTTATGCCTAGTATCCTACGCTGCTAAACTTCCAACCATCTCAGGAGAAAGAAATGCAGGAGGCTTCATGCAATTTCTCGAAAAATTCAATGAATAAGAAAATATAATGGGTCTAACCAAAAACGAAATGGTACTCCTTCTTCAGCCCACCTGAAAGGAACTGCTAAAGCAGTTTTCGAAAGCTTCTCAACTGAAGAGAAACAAAATTGGCAGATTGCAACCACGAAACTTAAGCAGCATTTCACTACTGACCATTTCTCAGATATAGCCCGGGTAAAACTGATGATATGCGTATGGAACCGTGGGAGTCCCCATTAGTTTTTTTTTCTATCAGAGTACGCATACGCAGAAAAATATTAGAAGCATATCCCAATAGTCGTCTAACCGGGGAACGCAAATTTCTCCAAACCATGGTATTCATAAATGCCCTTTCCTATCCACTAAAACAAAGACTGAAGCTTTCAGGACACCTACCAACCAACTATGAGAAACTGATACAGGATGCTGAGAGAATCGGGATCTTTACCCAATCAGATACTGATTCCATAAGATTCTAATAAGAAAAGCGGAAACTTTTGGACCAATCATCCACCACAAATATTCTCCCGAACCCACCTTTCCTACGTTATATCACAAATTATCAATTTTGTAACTTTTCATGGCCAAATAACTTGCAGCCAAAACGACAGTTCCAAAATTAAAAAACTGGAAGCAACTTTTGAACGTGTCTGCAATTTCAGAACTTTGCATTTGTTGGCAAATTTTTTTCACTCCTTAGAGAACAAAATTCAAGATTAAAACTATTCACATTCGGAATCAAACCACACAAAATAAGATAAATCCCAGTAACCAAAAAACTCTGCCTCTTCAATACAGAACCTCAATCACCATCATCATCGCCGAACCCCAATAGTAGAAAGTTCAGAAGGTTCCCTCTACAAAACCGAACCCAATATTTCCGCGAAAGATTCTTATTATACAGGGGGGTGGCCAAAAGACATTTCGGCCGAGTCACATATCAGCAAAGTTTTCGCAGCCCAGACAGAGAACGTGGATACGAGTACCAGGGCGGAGGATAACTCAAGACTGTTCCTCTATAAGCAGGAGCTGGGCGCCGCCCCATCCCTTCCATGTTACACCCAGAATATGAGTCATCCCCAGTGCGCAGACCTACTGGAGAGAAACCTTTGGAATTCATGCCACCCTCAACACAGCTGCGAAACTCTTAAAAAGGGAGGTCACGCCAGGATAGGCTACACTGAGACCAGTACTCTCCGATCTGCGAAGATCTCCATCATGCGAGCAGCTCGTCAAACGTCGCTACGGGTCCAGGAACATCAACTCTTTCACGCCGCAGTCGCCACGGCGCCAGTTGATGGTAGAACCTGAAGCGTACCTGGAATGGAGAGACCAATATTTTCTTGCTCGGGCAACGCGACCTGAGGTGAGCACTGGGCGGTTATATCGAAGCAACTGCGAGCTGAGAATAGCCACCCTACATGTCGTCGTCCGCGTACCTTCTTGAAACTGCGGTACTGCTTACAGCATTTGCGACGTCGCCCACCACATGAAATCAAGGGGCGTTGGAGAAAGCACTCGGGCCTACTTGGAATGGAGGGGCGTTGAGTACCTGAGGAAGGTGGAATATTCAAGCAGGTCATCTGACTCAAACCGCCTCAATTACCTGGTTTGGGCGGAGTTCAATAGGGTGGTCTGCGGTGGCGGAGAAATCGACTATCTCGCTGATCTCAGGCACCCACTCACGGTCGCGTGGCAAAATCTCTAGATGGCGCTCCTCCAGAAGGCTGTGGCGGAGTATCATAATAGTATTTGATATGCTCTTTAATATGGTGATGAAAATATCTAATAAGAGTCCAATGAATTGTAACTTACAACGCCTCGAATGTCAAGGAAGAAAAAAGTCTTCATTGGGCCCCCCTGTATAGCCATGAATTCACAACCTGTCTCCACAGTCTTGAATTACGACCCTGCATTAGGCCATGACCATTGCCACGCAAAACTGAATATCAAAATGCAGTTCTTAAAAATCGGAATGGAAGGCATCATCGAGCAAGATTTCATCTTTAAAATCACTTTGTCCTCCAATGAACTTTAAGCTTTAAGCTATGGCGAGTATAGTTCGAATAAACTTCTTTCAACTACCTCTTGAAGGGATCACAAATAGCGCACGGCTTTCTCTTCAGTTTTAGGATTATATCATTTCACAGTCATGGCAAAGGGATTGAAAGGTGTCCCAGCTACATTTCAAAGAGTATAAAACAGTCTAATACGTGAGCTACGATCATGCTGTTTCGCATACATCGACCGATGAGCTGACATATGATCTGCCTAGAAGTATCTGTACGCACTGGAACGTTTGGATGAAATAACTCCGGAAAATATTCACCCATTCAAACCGAAACTAGATACTTAGGTGTGCTCATCAGCAAAAACGGTACTCAACCTAACCCAGACAAAGTAGCTGGCATCGCTAACATCCCTAGCCCTATAAATGTGGAGGCGCTAAAGTCATCCAGTCGGTCAGGCAGGTATGCAATCAAACATAACTGCTATATACCATGATGGCAATAACAAAAAAATACTTTTGACCAAACCTAAACCTGGATGTTGCGACACACGTGATTACTGTCCACTTAGCCAGAAAAGTAAAAACCCTGCGGAACACATCATCCGCAAACGAATGGAAGTTTTCCCAGTTCCGAAACGCCCTTTCGAGCGTGTACGGATACCAGGACCATTATCGGAATGTATCGATGGAAGTAAGCCTATTAGAGTAACGATAAGTGCTTTTAGTGTAGAAAACATCGGGATCAGTCACAAAATCTCAACTAGTGATTTCTTCTTGAAGCATGGTGTTCCTACTGAAATCGTCCCCAACAGCGGTTCAAATACCCCGGCGCAATTATGGGCATGATCAACAAATCAGTGAGCACCACTAATGAGTCTACAACAAGTAAAAATCATAGGGTAAACGGACAGGCAGAGAGGCTAACCAAGTGATCACTGGCTTCCTCGCAGGACGCTCAGGATCTCTGGATAAAGCCCTTTCTTCAATGTACACGGTAGATGTCCTATCACATGAAGTGATGTTTTCCATGAGCTTCTGACACGTCTTATGTTAGCATGAGCACGATTTCGCGGACCACGTCGCAGCTGCATGGAAGAAGGAAACGAAATTGCACAGAACTTGGAACTGTACAATCTGGGATACGATCTTCTACATGAGGCATTTTCCAAGGACATTTCCATTGACGATTGGTTTTTTTACATGACGAAACTGTCCGTCCAAAACGACAAACCAACGGAAAGGCCCTTTCATCGTTCAGGACATACAACGTTCCAACATAACGATAACTCGCCCCACGCGACAGACTGTGCATATTAACAGGCTAAAAGTGTATTCTCTTTAGCTCATTGCCGAATAATGCTCCCACCCTGAATTCGCAAACTCAACCACCTCTATCAACCACGGAAACATCACTCGACAAAGAGCAACCACTAATACGACGTTCGCGTCGTCTTCAGGATAAAAAAGCAATTTTAGTATGTCAGGAATAATCACTAAAGGACTACTTGTTCCATAATACAGTAGATTTCGGTAAGTTTAGTTCTCCTTCCATTAGCCGCTCCGTCGCGAAAAGTACATCACAATTCTTTGAATTGGTGGCTCAAAGAATACTCAGGCAGCGTTCTCGTGTCAAATCAAAAAACAGTAGCACTTTCTAACACGCCCTTATACTAGTCGACATATTGGTTTTTAAAACCAGACTAGTATTCACATCATAGTTTACACCAATGTTCTTATACTACGCAAAAAAGAGTGTAGTGAAACAGACCAGTATTCGTATCGACGCTCCATTTAGCATACACTGTGCCTTTCACCATCTTTTTTACATCATCAGAAAAAAAATTTTTCTAAGATAAGCAATTGTCTAACTCGTAGTCATGAATCGTTGTTTATCCTTTACTGCGAGAAAATCGTGTCATAGAAATCTCGTAATTTCGCCTAGCAAGTATTGTACAAAACCCATAGAGTAACTTTGCACAATAAACTTCGACGTATCACTACAAATTACCTCTGTATGCCTCTATGCTCGAGGACGAGCTCATTTCTCTGGAGAGGGAGTGAACCGGCTCTCCGTTAACCAACTCTTCACAAAGGAACCTTGCCAACGTTTCTGATCTTGTAAATAACACCTTTTGCTCGAACAGTGCCAATCTAACTGCCTCAAGTCACCGCACGATTTCCTCCAATGTTGTACCACCTCGTGTAGCTGAATCATGTTGCACTGTTGCATCGCTCACAGTGAACGGATGCTCCTCTCATTTCATCAGCACTTCACTTGTACACATATTCTCGCCAGTCAGTATGTATCCTATTATATGTTCAAGGATACTTGCGAGAAGAAGTTCGAGCTCAACATGATGGAAGCTCAAAGCTCGAGGACGAGCTTACTGTAAGCAATGGAGATGTCGTATCCTCGTTGCATAGGCAAAAGGAGCCAATCGTGGAATGCCACCTGCCGTCCAGCGTTTCGTAACGGGGAGTATATAAGCTGCTGCCAGCTGCCAGAAGACAGAATGGTGCGTCTCTCAATTCACGCTAGGACTTGTTCGTCTCAAGCCTTGGCCGGGCTCCGCCGGCCTCCTCCTCTCCTCTCCCCCTTGCCCTTTTGTATCGTATGATTGACATAATAAATATCCTTATAACTAAGTTCAATGTTCATACATAGAACACCGCTACACCCATCGGATTGAGGCCTAGCCAATCTTCATTCTGATATGGAAGATAGAACTATGAGCTAATACAATCTGCGGTTATGATAATAATCACCCATCTGTTTCGAGAATCTATGGTTCAGTCTTAGGTGCAGTGATTGAGAGAAAACAGAATATATTGTATTCAACGTTGATGAAATGTAATTCTAAAGGACAGGCATACCCGCATCTTCTACCAGAAATGACTTGGAGGAGGATTGAGGGTGGGTCAACATTAATTTGTTCCTCTATTCGGTCTAAGGTCAAACCTTCCCTTTGCGCGAAATACGATAGGTCTCTGGAAATAATTCACGAAGACACTCGTAGTCAGCTCACCCATGAAACACCTCTTCACTAACACGAATGCGCGCTATGGTGATGAAACTACGAGAGTCACTGTCTTGGGTGATGCTCACGTGTCCTCGAACGCGCTCGACTTTCTCAGTCTCGGTCCATCTTTCTCACCTGCACGAAACATCGGTGCTTCAACATTCCGCAAAGTTGTGGGAAGTTTACAAAGGCTTCGCGATTTACTGCGTTCAAAACACCGTCGCGACAATAACATGGGTTCCACCACGTCAACTCAGAGATCACTCCCATCAGTGCCGTTCCCACGTACACTCTACAAGGAAACTGAACCCATAGCAGAAGTGGAAGTCAAATTAAGAAGCCTTTCAGCAGGAATTTTGTCTGTTCTGAATCAGAGCAGACGGTCCCACTACAGCAATTTGACGTACGAGCAATGGCAAGGTTTCAAAAAGTTACGTGAGCAAAGATG